TGAAAAAATGTTTAATCATTTTTTAGTAAATTAAGAGCATTTGGAATTACTGGTGGAAAATAATAGTTAAAGAATGCACCCCCCGTACTCCCCCCCCCCCCCCCCCCGTATAGACCGTGACAGGATTAATCACGGAAGAAAAGCATTCGCTTCAAACTCAAGCACACTAATTAACAATATAATGCAAATCGATCCTGTTTCACATGTTAATCTCTCATTAGGTTTGTGCTATAACAGCTTTTTACCATAAATATGACTTAATTGTCATTAAAAATGATGTATGTATGCATCATATCTGACATGATTAGAAAGATCTTTTAACATATCATGCCTTCGAAATGCATTATTCTATATGGAAATGCCTTTGGCGATGATTCATAGATATAAAATCGAATCAATCACTCTAAATATTTCCAAAAATAAAAGTACTTTTGTTGATATTTAATTAGTTAAATGTTTTACGAGAAATTCAAGCTTACCTGTTTTGTTTTATATTTTTTAACAAATTTTGCTGATACAAAATTTTCTGGTTGAATATCAAATTTAGTTTGTTGATGATTTGATGATGATGATGATGGTCGTTGCATATTAAGTAAAGCTAAAATTGATTCACGTTCAGTTTCATAAGATGATTCACCGATTGATCGACCTTTTGATGCAAGACGAAAAGCAGCCATCCATTTAGCATATTGTTCATCCTCAAAAATATCATAACAATAGTTTAAAACAAAACGAAAAAAAATATAACATACGGTTGAACAACGAATTAATATTTCATTCATTCCATCAATAGATGGTATCATTAAACGAATAGCATATTTTTTAGATGAAATATTTACATCAGGTAAAACTTCACAACCTTTAAGTGAAATTTTTTCAATAGGTGTACTACATTGTTGAGATTCATTTGTATAATAAGTTAATTGAGTATCTCGCATAGCAAACCAGTAACGTTTAAATGTTTTAAATGCAAATCTTCGCGGTTTAAAAAGGCGTAAATAATCACATAATTCTTCATTTGATGAAAATTTTTGTATTAGAGTATTTGTTGATTGATTTATGTTTGTTATTGTTCCTAACAGAGAATCTTGTAAGCGTTCAAGTGCTCGATCAATATCATCGTCATTTGCATTATCATATTCATGACCAATATCATTATTTGAAGATATAAATGCCGATGTTGATGAGGATTGATAAGACTGAATTTGGATTTGAAGCTAAGAAAAATTATTTTATAAATTTATTTCATACGTTTGCTATTGTCTTATGTGAAATATACGAATTATCTAGCATGTTATAAGTTTATACAAAATGTTTTAAAAGTCTACCGAGAAAAAAACGAACGTGAATAACTCAAACGACATCTGTGAGACTTTTATAATTTTATTATGTGTTTTAAAGTTTTGTCTTGAATAATTTCATTTTCGTCTACTGTTCAAAGAAGCACATGATACTGAACCATACAAGTCCCTGTTTGTAAATATTTGGAAAAAAAGGTATTGTATAGAATTTTATACAAAATCATATTCCTGTATTCGTTATTGATATAATATGGTATTTCAACACGATCCTTAGTATATATCGTCTTGTATGCAATCCGAAAAAAAGAACATTGAACTTTGCTATAAAGTTATTTACTGTGTTCTGTCATGATTCAATATATGCTCTATCAAACAAACTTTGCAAATATGTAGAACAATTGATGCGAACATGCATTCATTACCTACATGACATTCAGTGTCTGTTCTTGTATTATTACCGTAAAACATTCAGAAAGTGTCCAATCTACTAAAATATCACTATGATAGAACTCTTTAAGCCTTTCAATCCCGACCCTTTCTCTCATTTTATACAAAGTTGAAGAAAATCTAGATTGCTCTCTCTCTTGCGTTTTTATCTAGATAATCAGCTGTACACGAATTCTAGCTACGCTAGTTCAGTGCGAAAAAAAATATTTTCACAGCGAAGAATACATGTGTTTCTTTGAACACACATATGATATGTGTCATTTAGGAAGACGACAGAACGCAAAATTTCTATATTATGATATACATGTCATCTACGAGATGACATGCGGGATTGAAAGGGT